CTTATTGAAAGTCACTCTTTTGTTTAATTATCACTGGTTCGAAAAAAACCGTCTGTCCTCGAAAGAACCAGCAAGAAACCCACCGGGACTTTTATTAAATAACATCTTACAATCATAATTAATCACACAAAACGAATTAGAAATAGCTACCACCACATAATATAATATTAACATAGTAGCAGACCATTTCTCAGTTTGTATCGCATAGATTTCGCATACATCATTACAAAGAAGCTTCAATACTTGGGGCTATGGGGCTATTATAATGTTTGACTTCAGCTGAAAATATTTTATACTAGCGACTCGCCCTAGCTTCGCCTGGGTAGGGTCTATTAATGTAACGTTATTTAGATATTATAGACAGACCCTTCTAATTTATTTATGTATTACATATTATATTATAAATAGTCCGACTAGGTAAGTCCAACTTCGACCGAGAGGTCAATCGACGGATTCAACTCGGCTGGGCAGCGTTCGGGAAGCTACGACACATCTTCTCGTCAGACATACCTCAAAACCTTAAAACGAAATTGTACAACCAGTGCGTGTTGCCAGTGATGACTTACGGAACTGAGACGTGGTCCTTCACTGTTGGCCGTATGAGGAAGCTCAAGGTCGCTCAGCGAGCTATGGAGAGGGCTATGCTCGGAGTTTCTCTGCGTGATAAACTTAGGAATGAGGATATCCGCAGTAGAACCAGAGTAACCGACATAGCCCAACGGATTAGTAAGCTGAAGTGGCAGTGGGCCGGCCATATAGCTCGAAGAACCGACAACCGATGGGGAAGAAAGGTTCTCGAGTGGCAGCCTCGTACCGGTAGGCGAAGTGTAGGGCGTCCTCCCACGAGATGGAGTGACGACCTGGTAAGACATGCAGGAAGTCGATGGATGCAGGTGGCTCAGGACCGTGCTTTGTGGCATTCTTTGGGGGAGGCCTATGTTCAGCAGTGGACTTGTGAAGGGCTGTAATGATGATGATGATGATGATTACATATTAGATGTTGCGCAATGAAAAACCATACCATGCGCTTTTATATAACGTCAATAGAAATAATGAACCTACAAAATTGTTGTTCATAACCTTTATATAAATTACATTTTAGAATGAATGATTTTTTTTTATTCAATATTGATTATTTTAAGTAATGATATACATACAGTACTAATAATGTCTCTTCCTCCTTTCATTTATGGTTATTGATCTATCACCTAAAATCTGTAAACTTTTTCATTTATATCATATTATAATGCTCCCTACCCGTTAATCTATCTCCCCTTATAATTAACTATTTTCTGGTTGACTGGGAGAAATAGCTGCGTAGAAATATGACCGCCTTTTGTTTTCCAAATTGTACAATAAAGAGTATTGTATCGTAATTGTAAAAACTGTAGCCAGACATAACTTATTTGTAGGGGACAAACCGGTTATTGACCTACGCCTCAATACACAAGCCATACCTTTTTAATTATAGCTGTATATCGCGACCAGCGAAGCTAAACTTTTGCGTGTTTTCAAAAAACATTTTACTCGGCTAATGAGTGTAATAATTTAAAAAAAAATATTTACGCTCGTTCCTCTCACAAAGAACCTCAACCTCTGAGCAATTTTGGTACATACTTAATGTTTTTAAGTTAGTTCGTTGCAATTAGTTCGAACTTAAAAAACAAAAAATATCGAGCCTATCTCTATCTCAGATTTAATCTGAGATCTGTACTTACATACTTTGACTCTTTTACAAGCTAAATGGAAGGAAGAAAACGTAGTGGCGGTGTAAGAATATCCACCATATCGCCCCGTCGGTGTCGTAAGAAGCGACACAGGTAAACTTAAATAGGAGACGATAAAATGGTAAAAAACTGCGGTTGCCAACCCGACTGCCAAGCGTGGCAACTATGGCAAAATCCTATTCTATGGGGGAGGCCTATGTTCAGCTGTGGACTTCTATAGACTGTAATGGATGGATAGATGAAGGAAGGAAGAAGGAAAAAGAATAACCATATTGGAATACAGCGGCTTGTTTTGAGTTTAGAAAAGGTTACTAACATAAATCTTTTTATATAAATTATTGACGCCCATTCGCTTTAAATGACTGCCTACACATAGTATAGAAACATAGTGAGATAGATGCTCGTCTAGTATGGGGTCCGGGCTAAATTTGTCAGGGATCGACCTTCAGAGCATCGATGGGGCCCCAAATAAGTTTATACATCCGTCTAGGCCCGCGGCGTTATTGCATTACGCTAGGACTTGGGGTCCGGAGTCGCTCGATAGAATTGAATCGGAGCTGACTGAAGTTACGTGAGCGTCATGCGTAGAATAAATTTCACTTCATTTCACTTTAACTTCCTGGTAATAAATACGTTTTTCTTTGCGAAATTGAAGCAATCTCACAGTTCACCTGCTGGTAAGTGGCTACTGCCGTCATTGTTCATACCTGCAACAAATAACTAAACTACTCAGACTTGGTTGGTGTCAGAAATAGAAGTAGGTAGGTAGTTGTAGTAGATGGACTTCTGGACAGAAAATGAGTTCATCACCTCATAAAAACAAAACCTAGTAAAAAAAACATTCAGCATTCCCGTTTTTAACAATCTTTTATTAGCTTCGTGTGTATCTACCTATCTATGTAACGGAATATTTTAAAAGTAATTTTCATCGACTCGTAGACCGCTGAATGACTTGAAAATTTGCACCCGTATCAAGTGACAATACAATAATTAAATAACTTTATCCTACTATCCTGATGAGGATCACCAGGGTAAAATAAAATAATTTTATCTTTATTTTATGACAATGACCGAGTTATTCTCCCTTGAATCATCACAGCTCATTATCTATACGTGTTAAGTTCATTCATTTATTTATACACAGAACCAACTTTTTAAAATTTATACTTACTTACTTACTTATCTTCACGCACAATCCCTGACGGGGTAGCCAGAGAGAACAGATAGCCAAGTGTCACGATCCTTACAAACCTCTTTCGCTTCTTTCAGATTCATTATCTTATCTTATCTTAAAATTTATGATGTTGTAGAAAGTTATGTCGAATATATAAACTATAATATATAAACTAAAATGTTTGTTTGTTCGTATATTATGCGCTGCCATACTGTTCATCAGATTGCGGTAAAACTTTGACAACATATTACTTGCTTTTCCGCGAAGGTTATAAGCATAGTTGGATCCTGTAGGTGTCGCTGTTATAGTAACCAGATATCAACCGTGCGAAGCCGGGGCAGTTCGCTGGTTATTTATAAACTAGCTGTTCCCTGCCCACGCCACCCTAAATTACGGTTTTAATTTTTTTGCGAGGAAGCCTAATTATTTTTTAAAAATAAAAGTAGCCTAAGTTATCTATAAACTTTGTCAACATATTGCTTGCACTTCCGCGAAGGTTATAGGCATAGTTGGACCCGGTAGGTGGCGCTGTTGTAAAATGCAAATAACACCCGTGCGAAGCCGGGACAGATACCTAGTTAAAATAGATTTTTAGTATAAATAAAATTTAAAGTTAGAATAGGGTCGCGTGCTAGCGGCGTAGGAGAATTTGCCCACCCCATCTTTTGTCGTAAGGGTCGACAGGGATATACCCGGCAAATCTCGTATACATACACAAATGTAGAGCTACGTTGCAGCAGTATTACGGCTCCGTGGCGCAATGGCTTAGTAATTGAGTTGCAGCACTAAGGGCCGCGGGTTCGAATCCCGCACGGAACAAGAATTTGAATGGTCTACAAATAATTGTTCCGGGTCTGGATGTTTGTCCATGTGCAATTTATGTCTGTAAATTGCCCCCACGATACAGGAGAAAATACTAGTGTGGAGGTTACGTTTTTATAATTAACAAAGTATTATGATTGCTGCCCGAATAAATTATCTTGAACGGGGTAGGTAAGACCACGCGGTAAAATAGCGGCATAATATTGCTGCGTTTCGTTTTCGGTGAGGGATGAGATTCGCAGATCCTTTTCACTCGTGAGGAGAACGCGTATCTTGCACACAACATCCACTGAAGTTCAGGTGGACTATTCTCGTTTCTCATACTTACACGACCGTGTAGTGGCTGTGTAAGAATATCCACTATCCCATATCGTCCCGTGGGTGTCGAAAGAGGCAACAGAGGGAAAATGACACAGGTGATAACAACTGAAATTAATAAAAAAAACTGCGGTTGACAACCCGCTCGCCAAGCGTGTCAACTATGGCAAATTGCCCCGTATGAGGCAATCTATGGGAGATGCTCCTATGTTCAGCAGTGGACTTATATAGGCTGTATTGGATGGATGGATACCTACTTCTACTAAAGATGCATATTTTAAAACTTTTCTCGAAATTTATATACATTGTAGTACGTATGTAATGTAGTATGTGTATTTAATACGTATATAATCTTATACATATATATAGAAAAAAGGTGACAAACGAACACACAGTCCACCTCATGGGAAGTGGTTGCTGTGGCCCATAGACATTTACATCTATCTTCAATTACGAATCAAAATACAGATGCGTTGTCACCCGTGAGGACTAAGAAAGAATGCCTCGTTTCCAGTAGGTAAGGGTCTCCGGTTCTCTGCACTCACCATACAAAACACAGTAGCGTTATGCTGCTATTTTACGCTGGTATTCTTTGAGAGCTTGGTCCTTCCGCGGTCGAACCGATCCATTCGTGCTACAACTATACTACCACTATAGCTGTACATGACTCTATCACGTAAAAATATATGTTCTTATTTATTTATAAGTACTTCTTTATTTTTCTATTTTGTTTTTTTTTACCACACCGCCACTTGTATGTTTATCTTTGCTTAGCGTAATGATTAACTGAAAGAATGCCTCAAGATATTAGGACCGTCATATGTACGATTATTGTACAAAATAGTTTAAATAATTAAAAAAATATAATGGAGCGAGGACATCTCAAATTTGAATGTAGGCTCTACGACGAAAACTCTTGTTCATTGAAAAGGCGATAACATTATTTCTTTTAATTACAGACGCGGGAGGCCTGTGCATAAATAAAGGGTGTTGTGGCCCGCGGGCTAACACCGCCCTCACGGAGAGGGCACACCAGCAGCTGACTGACGCGTTGCGCAGTGAGCTCGGCAAGTTGGCCGACATCCTCACAGTCAGAGCTAAGAAGTTTGATGGTGAGTAATGCTACATATTGTAATATAAAATACAACCTCAGCACCGCTAGCATGGTCTGGGGACAAACAATTTATCCCCCGATTATATCCACTGACAAAAGATAAAATTATCTTGTCCTTATGCCGAAGCACGGCAACGGGGAGAAGTATATTCCCGTTTGACATAACGAATAGACATTATATCCCCCGTCCTTAACATGGAGCCAATTGAACAATAAAAATTATGCTTTTTTGACATTTGAAAGGGACAATTATATCCTAGTTCATTGGACGTAGGTTTAAGTTTATAGTCATACAAAAATCTATCTCAGTCTATCTCCCATTTTATCTACTGTGGGTATTATATCCACCGGTGTGCCCGTGCTCGAAGGGTGGATAAAACTAAGCGAGGGGATAAACATTTTCTCTTTTTCCCGGGGATAAAAATTGTCTCCTGCCCATGCTAGCCGTGCAGGTGTTGAATTTTCCAAATACGTTTTAGTGTGTCGACGTCGACAAAGGAGTTATACTGGTATATGCCAAATTTCTAGTCGATCAGGCGTATAGTTTCGGAGATATCGTGATGAGTGAGTCAGTGGTATTTCGCTTATATATACATAGAAGTTAGATAAAGATGTTGACACATTGTGAATGTGGGTCGTAGTGTTTGTCAACAGCGGGGAAACCATTTTGGATGGCTATAATTTTGTATGTGACAGACCGCATAATCGAGTATTCGGCATCACCAGTTTCAAATTATAGTTTTCTATAATCTGAGCTAACATTAACAAATAACTATTTATTTATAAATGCTTTTATTGAATTTTTTTTTTCATTATTTAAAAAATAAAAATGGACAAAGCAAGATTATTGTTTCACTACAAAAACTATTCTCATACAATTTTTATTGCAATTTTCGTTTTAACAAAATGACTAGTGTCAAATGCCTAATTCAAACATCCTTTGAAAACCTGGGCACCATGATTAAAACACTAATTGGTGCTCTTTTCTGCCGACTTCCAAAAAGGAGACGGTACTCAATTCGAGTGTATATATTTTTTTATGTGTGTTACCTCGTAACTTTGTACTGGGTGAATGGATTTCGATGATTCTTTTTTTTATATGAAAGCTGATAGTTCTCGTGTAGTTATCAAGGTCCAGACCAATGGTTATTGAGTTATTCTTAAATAACTTATATTGAAGTCGGCTGTACAAAATTTTTAATTTTAAATTATTCACTTACGCCAACCTTTCTGATATGTATTTGCACAGGCTTTTGTTTTGTTTATTACACTTTAATTATCTTCTGTATTTTTTTATAAAACTAAGGTGACAAACTTAGAGTCCACCTAATAGTAAGTCGCTGGACACCTGCAGCCTTCATACAAAGAAGGTTACAGATGCGTTGTCACCTCTGGGGACTAATGACATGCCTAACAGTATGTAATTATATTGGCTCTATGTAATTATACTGGCCCTCTTTACTCTGCTGCTGTTTAGCGGCAGAAATAGGTAAAAGGACGGACTCCTAGGCAGAATAATACGTGGTAAAGCCATGTGGCAGCTATGTTATGGTTGTAGTACGACTAGTAGTATAGTTATAGCACGAATGAGTCGGCTCGACCGGGGAAGGACTACGCTCTCACAGAATACCAGCGTAAAATAGCAGCTTACTGGAAAAGAGGCATTCCATCTTAGTCCTCAGGGGTGACAGCGCATCTGCAAACTGATCATTAATCGAGACTAGATGTAGAAGCCTATGGGCCACAGTATCTACTTACCATTATGTGGGCTGTGTGCTCGCTTTTTACAATTATGCTCAAATACTGCTGTCTATATCACTTTAAGTCAAAGTGACTGTGACACCACGAGACTTAACGACGTCTTAACATTTAGTAGTGTTTGAGTATTTAGGCATTTTTTTATAAAAAAAAGAAGTCATACCACCTAAATTACAATACGTACGATACCATACGATACCAAGTACGACTTATTCCACTATCCTTGATCCAGTATGCAATTATCGCACTTCAATTATCAAAATACTATTATTTGTAATGTTAAATAAACATTATGTTACAAAACACAAGCATTTATTAGATATCTATGTATTCCGGAGCACTTAGTACGAGCTTTGCTAATGGGTCGTCTGCTGCGAGCATTAGCTGAGTAACCAAGTGGTGGGCTAGGTATAAATGGCGGCGTACTGTCGGGCTATTATCTGGGAACTGTGTACATTGGCACTACCAGACTTCCCTACTGCAAGTTTTCACTAGAATAGAGTTATGTAAAGATTAATTTATTGGTTCAAAAGTATCTACGGATCGATGTAAAGCACGATTTTTATCATCATTCACGCATGGTAGAGTCACGCTGCAGCTATACTATGCCTGTAGCACTAATGGGTCGGCTCGACCGGGGAAGGACGACGCTCTCACAGAACACCAGCGTAAAATATCAGCTTTAGTGTTTTATTTATTTAGTGAGTGTAGAGAACCGGATACCCTTTTGTACTACTGAC